GCACATCCCAGGAACCTGCTGGAATTCACTCGTGCTTGGCTCTGGACCTTCCAGCACGGCCGTGTTCCTGGCTGGTGCCGGGCTCTGCACTGGTGAGGAGCTGGTAACTTGACAGATTCCTTCCCTGCTGAGGTGCCTGGGATTTGTTAGGAAGTTTAATAAACTTAGCACCAGTGCGCTTCTCTGGAGAGCACTTACAAAACAAATTCCAGGGAAGTAGAGGAGAGGGCTCGGTCATCTCATCGCAGAGGTTTTTACAAAGTAATAAGCAGACACGTTGCTGGGAAGGTGTTCGTTTCATTCTCATGTATTTTCTTATCCTGGAAGACCATTTGCTTAAGTAGTTGAGGTTAAATTTTTTCTAAGTGTACTTAAATATAGTACAAAACAATGAAATTTTAAAGGCTCTGTAATGTTAATAGTCCCTTCCCTTCAAGAATGTATATGAGCATATGGGAAAAAAAAAAAGAGGCACTTCTTTTTTCCTGGAAAGGGTGTCTGGGATAGGAGGATAAATGCAGAAAGAATTGGTTGCTTGTAGGGACAGCTGCTCCCAGCTATAAGAATCATGGCAGAAATAAATTTATAGGGTCAGAAGAGACTAAATAAACTAGTTCTGTGCTAGGAAGTTTTTATGTGTATTCTTAGCCACTTCTGTTAGTCCATTCTGTATGTTTCAGTTAAATTATAATTTTAAAATGTTGGTTCTTTTGAATAAATAAATAACTGTTTTTGTGCAGAATTAATGTTTCTTTTAACCTAAGCTAATGTGCAACCCCACTTCCTCTTAAGTAGTTGTGACAGGAACTTCGGGGTGAGTGTTTTTGGAATTGCAGCCCAAATAAATGTTTAATTTTAAACTGACAGATTACTTGGGGCTGTCATTCTTCTCAGGCTTTTACTATGCAAGAGTGAACAAATTCTGTAAAATAAACTGTGGATTGGTCTTATGGACACATGTTTGCTTCTGGGCTGAGCATCTTGAAGTGGTTTGCAGCATGTCTTTAAAAATTTATTTCACTGTTGCATCTACTGCTGGCCTAAGTGCTCCAGTATCTGCCAGGAGTAATTATAGGCAGTTGGTTCAGATGTTGCTTAAATGTGTAAGCCTTGATGGGATGTAGTGGATTTCAGCCAGAATGCTAATTTTGATGTTTTATCATTTCATAAAACTGTGAACTCAGAACAAATTATTTTTATACTGATCTGCTGATACGTAATCACAGGGTTACTGCCAGATTCAACTGTGATGTAGCACCAGAATCTAAAGATGGGATTAAAGTTAGAATATCAGCATTTCCCTAGGTTGGCTAATTTGGTATCCACAGTGGCATTATGGCTGTATTTACTCATGTACCCTGCACAGGAGTGTCTGCTGCCAACACTGGTTTGCTGCAGGAATGCAGTTTAAAGCTGTTTTGTGAATTGTAATTGTGCCTTTTGAATGGCATTCTCCTCCAAATGACATTTTATAACTTAAACAGATATTTTGCAAATTCACATTATTGTGCTATGTTTACAGTATACTGTTCTTTTTTTTGTGGCATGTGTTTTGTTGGATGTTCAGGGTTTTTTATTTGTTTCTCCATTTTCATCATAGCATAGAGTGAAAAAAATAAAAAAAAGTCATAGTACATGAATCAATTTTACAGGCGAAGAACAGAGACTATTCTTTCTGTCCATCATGGGTAGGTTAAAGTGATAGAGACACAGGGATATGAAAGATCTTCCTTAACATTAGATTGATAAGCTGGTGGATCCAAACACTTGGGTCCATCAGTCATTTTGGAGCCTGTTACCTCTTTTCAACTAGTCATGAAGCTGCTACAGCCAGAATTTATGTAATAATTAGATGGCATTTTTTCCCCCCTCAGTCAACGTAAACAAGATAGTGTCTTCTTTCAGGGCTTCAGGCATTCTGCAGTGTCATTTGGGACACGTCTGTCTGCCAGGTCATTAGCACAGCCTTTGGGGATGTGTGCAGCTGCAGTGTCAGAGCAGGGAATGGATCTCAGGAGCATGGTGTGCTCGGGTTATATCCACTGCCAGGCTGGAGAAAAGAGAGGGTGCTGCTATACATCCCCCTTATTCCTTCGGCTTTCCTTCCTGGGAATTGTGTCCTGGCATTAACTGCTGAACATTTCCTCTGCTGGACAGATTGGAGGTTGTGGCAAGTGTTCAAAATCCTGCCGTTGTATGAGTGCACCTGTGATGTTCATGAGCCAGGGGTTTAGTCCTGAACTCCTGATAATGCCTGGGACGTTGCCACTGATGGATTCAGGATCAGACCCTGCTTTTGAAATGATGGCCCAGTCTCAGCAGGGCCCAGAGAGCTCCGGAGGGAATCAGAGCTGTTGGTTTTCCCCACAGGGCTGTGTCTTCTCATCTGATGTTGTGTGTTCTCACAGCCCTTTCCTCAGCCTTCCTTTTTCCTGAGAGCTCCTGTCCGCAGCTGTTTCCTGCTGTTCCCGGGGTTAGGTGGGCTCTGGAGCAGGGGGAGCTGCACTTGTTTCCTTTGTGTGGCAGAGTTCCAGGCCAGGAGCACCGGGGCAGCCGGGTGTGCTCGGCGTGGGCCTTGTGCTGCTGCTGCTTTGCAGAGCCCGTCAGGGTGTGCAGCAACCTCAGCGGGCCAGGGAGAACCTGGAGCAGTAGCCCCAGGTCTTCTCCAGGCGTGTGGTTGGAAGGAGCTCCTGTATCCCTCTGTTGTGAGGCCAGTGTTTTGGGACCTTCCTGAAGATGGAAATCCCTGGCCATTTCCATGCTCCTGAGCAGCGCCTCTCAGCTGACACCAACGCTTTGTTTTCTTACTGCAGCATCTCTGAGCAGTATCTCTACTTGCCCAAAGTGGCCTTGGCATGATTTCTTGCTGTTTATTACTACTAACTACTGCATTGTGTTATGGTACTTGTGTTACTGCCACATCGGTGAGTGCTCAGAGCAGGAGAATGTTTTTTGTCTTACCTGACCATGTAGAGATTGTGAATTCAGCTCAGTACCCGTGGTCTGTGGATAGCTGCAGTGAGGCCTTTGGGGGTGATTCAGAATGCGATGGAATCATGACTGCATGGAGAAAGTAAATACACAGCAATTGCTTAATGTCTCCTCTAGCTCAGGAACTCAGACACATCAAACAAAACTAGCAGGTGGCACACTCAGAACAAACCAAAGGGCTTTTTCTTGCATTGTTTACACAGAACTTTATAACTCGTTACCACAGTAGTTTGCAGTTAGAAAAGTTTCCCTGGATTCAGAAAGAGCACAAACAAATTTAGAGAGGGAAAAGCCTTCAAGGTCTGCTAATCCTAAAGATAAAATTTCTGGCTCAGGAAGTGCCTTTACTATAGATAGCAGGAGGAAAGGTGTCCTGGGGAAGTACTGCTGGATGAAAAGGGCAGGCATATGCTTTTCTTACGGCTTCTGCTGTTTGTGGAGGATCCTGGGCTAATTGGACCTTTCATCTGACCTAGCACAGCCATGCTCTGCTCTTTAATCAGGGGCCAGAATGCCATTGCTCCTATTTGATCATCAGTACCACAGGCTGTGTCTGCCTATGTGAGCTGAAGACAGGAACTGGAAGGGGAGCAGATAATTCTTCTGTTTAGTACAAATTCTTCTCAAGCAGAATATAGAGAAAACCAAGTTCTGTTATACATGTAAGAGCTTGATATTTACTGACACTGGTCATGCTAACATCCTTCTGCTGTTCCTGAGATAAATATGTAGGCAGTAGAAGCTGAAAATAAATAATTTTTGGATTTAATGTTTTAGAATGATTTAGTAATTTTCACTTCTCCACTTACTGGTTACACCGGGATAAACCCGAATATGCCTTGCTTTATGTCAGAGCAGGTGGAAGTAGTTTGGCCTGAAAGTATTTAAAATCCAAAAGATAGAATTAGAGGGCAGAGGGCAGCAATGAAGTAATGACTTTGTCTTGGACACTGAAAGCAAGGGGAAGAAAAAAGATCTGGAGAGACATTACAGCAAATTAGTACATAGTGAATTATTTATAGAGAGAAAAGGAGATACTAGAAAATAGTAGAATATTATCAGTCCTGTCTATGCTGGGATTTATTGACATTGCATTACAATGTTAGGGAGACAGTTAGGAAGGTTTTGATAGAACAGTCTAAATATTACAGGACTGGAGTCAGCGTTGGATCATACTACTGAAATCTTCCATTATTTGAAGCTGTAAGAGGTGAGAAAGCATCACAGAATGTCCCAGAGAACTGATGAAAGAATCTAGAGGTGTTTGGTTTTCAGTGAAGAAGCAGATTTTCCCTAGCTCCATTTTTATTTATTCCAGTTTTCTTACTGTTAACTTTGTCCTCACATTCCTAAGACAGAGATCCTGCATGTATGTGTTTCTGTTTGGGGAAGGGAAGAGGCGAGGTGAGGTGTGCTTTTGTTCCTTGTGCTTGTTTTGTTTGCTGTGGGGTAGCTGACAAATAAATGCTTGTTGATAGTTATAGCACAGTCCCTTGGGCATTTAAGGATATTTTCTATATTAGTACTGCCCTTCACCTCAGCTTTAGAATTCCCCATCTGCTCCTGCTCTCCCACACAGACATGTGCCTTCTTTCTCTTTCCACATTCAAACAGGAATTACAGAAGCTGGAAGAGGAAAGGGAGTTCACTGTCTTCAAGGAGATATTGCCACTCTACCACCACCACTTGTATTGGTTACTTAATTCTAGCAAGCAACAAAGTGCTGAATTCCCAGTATCATGTCAAAAGGGCTTGTTTTGGTTTATGTCCTTTCTACAATTGAAAAGCAGCTTTTCTTTAGCATGTTTAGATCTTTTCACATGAAGCTTATGAAGCCTAATTTGAGCCTGTTAATCTTTTTCTTGGTAACCCATAGAAAAGCACAGCTGCACTACTGAAAACACACTGTTTATCCACAATCACCGGGTCTGGGCAGCCCGCAGCGTTCCAAAGATCAAAGTTTAAAACAGACATGCCAGTCCTTCCTAATTCCTTGTGTTTAAGCACACAGCACCACAAAGTCTAAATTGCTGCTGCTGAAAGCTTGTGCTGAGCTTGGGCCTGTGTTGATGTGAGAGGGCAGCTCCTCCTGCACCGTGGCTTTAACAGAGAGGTACGTCCTGGCAGCTCGATAAGCATGAGGTAAAGTGGGACAGACGAGTCTAACAGTGCTCATTAAAAACTCCTCTGGTTACTTACTCATTCCTTTTAAATTAAAGTAAATAATGTTAAGGATTTTCTTTTTTTTTAAAAAAAAACCTATTTTTGCAACTGAGTTTCACCCCTCCTTTTTCTTTCTTCATTGCCTATGTGGGAAAACTAACACATTTGTATAAGGATAAACTGGGAAGTCTGTGGTTTCCAGCATGCACATTTTGAATAATATTTATACAGACTATTATTTAATGGGCCATATAAATATTTATAATATGCTGTAGCCTTTTGATCATAAATGCTTGTTTGAAAAGCCATTCTGTCCCTGCTGTGATTTGCAGAGAAAGAGACCATTGCTGGTTTAGTGCTTGGAGAGAATTTTGGCTTCTTGTTCTGACTTAGCAGTTACAGTCATTGATTAACATGGTCAAGCTGGACATGTCTTTTAATTTTGCTTTTTTCCTCTACCTCTCTCCTTCTATTTGCAAATTCAAATAATAAGTTGAAAATATGAGGCTTGAATTCTGCAGTGGACAGACAAGGCTGTACTGAAGTTCTGGAGGCCTTTTTTCTTGGCTGCAAGGAGCCAGGTTTCCTGAGTTTAGATACTTCAGGGATTTAGAGGGTACTATCTCCACTGCCTTCCACCCCTTGGAAGTCCATGAAACATGCATCATCCATGCATAAAATATTTTAGTGTCATATTGGGAGTATTATGCTTGATGAACTGAACTGTCTGACTGGACTTTCAGGGCATTTTATTTCAGTTATTTTTCTGGTTCGGTTTTTCTCATGATTGTATTGTCTGCAGAAACTGAGAATCTAGCAGATAAAAAATCCAAACCAATGTTTTATTTGCACAACAGTTTTCTGTTCACATGGCAATGCATGTTGGTGTCCAAATTCCAAAGCAAGAAGCTTGTGCAAGGACCTTCTGCTACCTCCGCACTCCATTAAAGAGCTCCTTCAGCTCTGATTTGGAGCTTGCTCTTGTACCAAAGGAATCTTCTGGAAACAAAACAGAATGACAACATTCCTTTTTAAAATTCTTATCACTGTACTTTGGCTAAATATTTTCCACCAACTTCTCTGCTGAGTTCTTAGGTTCTCAAGAAATACCCTTGGGCAGAGTCCATAATTGCTGACATTTCTGACCTAGAGATGACGGTGCTTTTTGTGGATGGGGTTGATAAGTAGGTGGCATACCAAGTGTTTGGTATTCCAAAAAAACCCTTGGCATCAAATTATGCTTTTGCAAGCCGATCAGATCCTGTTGCAGAGACACTTTACTTTGAACAGCCTCTATAACTTAGTGCTTGCTGTTATTGAGAAAGGATTAATATTTACTTTTAGCCTTTCTTTTTCATGAGATATTGAGTGCTGCTTTGTGAATCTAGGTGAGCTTTATTCAGAAAGAGCCCAACTGAAATAAGTTTGGAGTTCTTGGGTTTGTACTGTCACTTAACTCTTTCCTGTTCCCACTGATTGGCAGCAGTAAACTGGTGGATGTGCAAAGGCTGATATGCACTGCTCGAGCAATAAACAAACTCTGCTTCCTGCCCAGTCGCTCACTCAGGCACATCCTGGTTGCTTAGTAAGGAAAAAAAAAAAGGAAAGTAAACATTACATGGGCAGATTAGGTTCCAGGTTTCAAATGTTTGTGGGAAGAATCCAAGGCAAAGCCATAATTTCAAGTGCTGAGTAGGAGGTACTGTGAACTTAATTCTCTAACATCTGCTAAGCTTGTTCTCTAAGTAGCAAAAACACATTAATGAGCTAAAATCAAGGCTGCCATACAAGGAAGAGAAATTTGGAGTAATATTGTGTGTGTGAGCAGGAGGCAGGATATAAAATACTCCTTTTGCTATTTGTATTTTGTGAAAAGCAAGTAAGAAGGATTTGCCTATGTTTAAAAAAAAAAAAGAATCTGTTTTGCAGCTTGTGGTTTATTCTCAACTTTTTATGAGTCAGCAGCTAAAGGCAGAGCAGAAATAGGGGAAAAACAGGGAAATTCATGAGATAATATCAGGAACAGTATTATGTAATGTCTTTGTAGTAAAATTTCTCACAAGGAACTTGCAGCACCTGCAGCCAGCCTTTGGAGCTTTGGGGAGGTGGAGTGCAAAATTAAGAAGTAAATACTATGTTGAAAAGAGAGTCTTAAAACTGCTTTTGCAGCTGAGGGCTAAAAGGGAGAAGCTGAGTGCTGTCACCCCCCAGGTGACAGATGCAGTATTAATCACCCATAGCAGCAGAGTTGTCCTCTCTGGCAGAGGGATTGGCTTTTGTTCCTCTGACCAGGTCACAGAGCCAGGGCCAAGAAAATAAAGCAGGTTTTCTTGCCAATATTCCTAGGTGTTAGACTCATGGCACACCATTATTTTTAGCTGATTGCTCATCGCTTGGACGCATGACCTTGCTTAATGAGATTAGTGTGTGTTTCACCTTATCTGCTGGGCAGAACCAGCATGCTGGAGGCACAGCCAGGATTTCCAGCAGGACCACAAGATGCTCTGTAACTTGGAGTTTTTTCTACTTTCTGACATTATTAGAAGCTGATGGTCTGTGCAGCTATCCCAGTGACCCTATATGGTGTGAGCAGAATGTGGTGTGGTGACTGCTTTGGTCTGTCCCTTGTGCTGGCCAAGCAGAGAACAAACCCATGGGCCCTGGACCCAACAGTGGGCTCTGGGCATGAAGTGCCAGATTGAAGCAGGAAAAAATGATTGTGTGATAACAGATCTCCACAGACTGACCACATTTCCATGAGCTGTTTGAGGGCTGGGAGGAAGGGAAACCTCAGTTGGTTTCTTCAGCCAAGGTGCTGTTTTATGTAATTTTCAATGCAAATGAACTTTTTCCTAATTAATTATTATCTAAAATTGGAGTTTTCTGAGATTTTCCTTTTTTCTTCTCTGTTTCACCTGCTGCCTCTAGCCCTCAGTGATTGTAGATTTGTGATATCCATCAGCAGCAGTGGTTACAAGCCAGCCATGGATGTGAACGAGACCTACATTGTGCCAGTAGGTCTTGAGCTGTACTCAATTATTTTGAAACGTGAATAATCATATTCTGTTAATCAGGACTTTCAAATCTTTCTCCCTTTGCCTATACTCCTCCCTCTAACCACCCCATCTGCCATTTCCAGAAATTATCCAGGTCACTTCTCTAGGAGAAGTGGGCTGTTTTTAAGTAGAGACATTTTGATGCTTTTAAATACCATGTGTTTTAAATACCAATTTATCTATTCATTCTCTGAATATCAGAAGCTGTGTGTCAGCTGAGTTTCATGTGTTTCAGAGATGTAAAAGGTTCATACAAGCACTAAACGTGGTACTTGTCTGACGTTTCAAATAATTGTATCAGCTCTTACTTAGCATTCTCACAGCTTGATTAAAATGTAAATGTTAACTATTAATTAAGAACAAACTGTGAGAAATTAAGAGCAGTGAATTTGTCACTGTATTAAATGTCAAATAGTTAAACTTAATATAGTGAAATAAGCAACTCATTGTGAATAATTAAATCAATTAACTTAACCTCACTTTGTTCTTGTAGGATGTCAGAGTAGGCAGAGATTTCACACCATGCTCTCATGGCTCAACACATTTTCAGAAAATTATTTTCTGAGTCTTTAAAGTGGTGTGAATTGATGGTGGAGAGCTCTTGAAAACTTGCCTTTATTTATTCTTTTTTTCCTCTGGGTAACATGTACCTGATTGTCATGTAGCTACTTTATAATGACCAGCATCACACCACGGGTGGGATGTTTGGCTTGATGGGAGGCAGCAGCTCTTGGCACTTTTTCCATCAGTCATTTTATCTGCATTTAACCCCTTTTTTCCCTTTTCCTTGCACAGGTTTTATAAAGATGCCCGGTGAGAAGCAGACTGCAGTGAAATACTACGTTGGAGTTGATGTGGGCTCAGCCAGCGTTCGCGCGGCGCTGGTGGACGGGTTTGGGACGGTGGTGGCACATGCAGAACGACCCATCCAGATCTGGGAGCCCCAGCCAGACCACTATGAGCAATCCTCTGCAGATATCTGGGCTGCCTGCTGCTCTGTCACAAAGGTGGGCAAGGACAAAAGGAAGGATTTGTGTTGCAAGTTTTGAATGTTCCCAGTCCTGCAGTCCCTGTGCCTGTCACTTCCACTCAGGTCTGTTCATGCTGTGTAACTTGTGACCACCCCTGTGCATTAAAGGCACCTCGAGGCTGATGCAGCTTCACAGATGTCTGTTTTACTGGTGAGGAGCTGAAGGCCAGAGTGAAAAAAACTCATGCTGCAATTGCAAATAGAATGAAAGACCATTCTTTGTGCTGTTATTGCAGAGGGAGGATTTACCCACTGCCTTCAGGTCTCTTATCTGTGAGCTTTGTTTAGCTGGTGTATGCTCTATCCACGACACAGTTCTTGGAGGAGTCAAGGTTGCTGAGAACCTGGCAGAGCATATATCTAGAGATATTGTGCAGTGTATTGGGCTGCTCTGGAGTCATAAAGGAGAATTTATCATAGGTAAATTGTAATCTGGTTTGTGGATGGCCCCTAAAGTAACACTTGTTATCCTCATTATAAGACGATCCAGTATTATAAGACCAAAATAAATAATAAATGTCTGTGGATAGTATCAAGCATGAAACCAGATTGAAATGGACTTTACTACAGGGGAAAATTTGTACCCTCTGATCCAGGGCTCTGCCTGTACATGCTGTAGGTAAAGGTGAATTAGAGACCTTGCTTGCAGTGCACACAGAGGCCATTTCATCTTCCTCACTACAGCCCCTGCCTGCTGCATGTTCTAAGGTTGGGTTTTTAAATATTAATGATAAGCTTGGTAATTTGCAGATGGACTGTTCGCCCATTGTCTTGTTATTGATCAGCCTTTTCAAACATTAATGAGCTTGGCTCTGCAGAAATGCCCTGACATGGAGAAGAGGAGGTGAGTGGATGGAAGGAGAAGCAGGGAGTACAGGAGTGATAGGGAAAAACAGCTTAAAGCAGAGCAAGTCTTCCTCTGCTTATTTGATTTTTCTCTGCCTGAGTGGCTTTTTTCTTGTTCTGGACCTCTTTAAATGCAATCTCTTATATTTAAGCAATAAAATGGTCTCAGAAACTGCAGTTTTACAGAGCCAGTAAGAGACTGGCACTGTGCAAGTCTACTGAAAGTCTTTCCTTATAGTACTAATTAAAATAATGATATTTTTATTGTTGCTGAGAAGTGGCAATTTATTACTGTGCTATATTTTAGGTGTCTTGCAACCTCATTTGGCACTTAATCCTTGTGGGTGTTGTGTTTTTTTTTCCAGTGCTGCTGGAAGCCATGAAGTTGAGGCATTTTGGGGCAATGGTTTGTTGGTTTTTTTTTTTTGAAAACCTTCCAAAAAGTGTGCTATTCACACTCTTGGTAGCTGAGTAAAGGTGTGCATTGCAGAGATATTATCATGGCTACAGGTTTTGACCAACTTTAGTTGTAGAACCCTTCAGTATTGCAAGACAAGCACAGTATTACCAAAGCAGTTCTGGAAGATTGTTGCTTCCACAGGCAGGAAGTCAGTGAAGTAACTGAAGGAAACACTTGGTCCTAATCCTTGTCCATGTTTCATATCCAGCTCAACTCCAAGCTTTAGAAAAGAGACAAAATTAACATTGCAGGTTAGTTACCTTTATTTACTGATACTTTTGTGCTTCCTGATTTTATCCATGTCTGTGGATAAAGACCTCTGAATTCAGATTTGACATGTTTATGATTCGAAGTTTTAAAGAACACTGAATTTAGGAAATCTCAGAGTTTGAGCTAACTTGTAACTCATTTTGTGTACTCACTAGTTCACGTGGCACTTGCACAGGCATGGATATATTTGTGTTCCTGTGTGTTTTGTGTATTTTCAGGAAGTTGTCCGTGGAGTGGATGCCAGCCAGATCCGAGGGCTTGGGTTTGATGCTACCTGTTCCCTTGTTGTGGTGGATAAACAGTTCCAGCCTTTGGCAGTCAACTCTGAGGGTAGGGCTCCACACAAAACCTGATGTTACTGTGTGACTTTTACCACTGATGGGAGGGAACTTTCCATGTCCTCCAAATGCCAAGTGGTGGGGCTGGCTCTTAGAGATGGAGATGACACAAACACTTTTTTATAAGAGGATTTTTTCCCTGGTTTTACTGTTTTAGTTTTACTGCAAAATTAAATCCGAGATGTGAATTACTTACTGTTTGGTTAAATATTTGGCATCCTAAGATCACATTCATTCATCTTGGCACTGAGAAATTTCTTCTTAGGGAAATCTATGCTCATTTTTCTTTTCGGCATGTTTTCTTCTCCTTCAGACTGCACTGATCATGGCTTTTATAGTGTGTATAAATGCCCATCCACACTGGCTAAAGGAATGTTAAAAATGTTAGTGTTAGTGTAGTCTTAACTGCTTGCTCTGTCATGGAGCTGCAGACAAGAAGTTCAGTTTGTGGATTTTATTACACTGGTTTTCTGTCTTTGTCTAGGCCAGTGCTAAACTTCAGAAACAGTCTATGATCTTTTTCTAAAAATCTGGGGGGTTTTAATTAGTTTTTTGGTAGATGATTCAGGAGACTCACAAAAAGTCTGTACTTCTGTACTTCTTTTACCCAGTGAATCCCACTCAAGATTAGGTGTGTGCTATGTCAGTCGTTACAGAGACATAATCTTAATTCTGTGTATATTCTCTTTCTTTTCTCAGATGTGTTTGTCATCTCCTCCTATCCTTCTCAAAAAAACAGCTTTGCCCCCAAAATGCCCTTCTCCAAATTTAGATCAGATTATTTTTTTTTCAGTTTGAGAGTCTCTTACAATCTGTTCAATGCCTAATGATGTTTGGGGCTATTTTGGGTCTAATGAGTCAAATTCAGTTCTCATTTTTTGTGGTCTGATATTCCTGAGAACTTTGAGTTTACACAGTGGTGGTGCTAAACAACAAGACAAGAATTCCCTCAATACTGTAATGCTGTGAAGAGTCTTGCAGTGGTGGTGTTTCAGACAGTTTCACAGTTCTGAGTTGTATTTCAATCCATTTTAGAAATATTGATGTGCCTTACACTCCTGCCTTGTTTTGGACTCTGTTTTCAAGATGATGCTTGAGTGGCTGTGCTGTGGAGTGTGCAGAGTACTTAGCCAGGGAGGAATCTGCAGTGTCACCTGGATTACTGTTCCCTCTGTCTGGCAGGTCCTCTGGAGGTTAATTTGGATAAAATGTTCTTTGCTTCTTGTTCTCATTTGTGTGTGTTGCAGGACTTGCCAAATGCTTTTTCCTTGCACATCCAAAATCAAATTATTTCAACAAATTATCTCCCTTGAAACAGTATTTCAGAAAGGAATTAGGGTGCTTCTTCTCATAACCATAGAAGAGGAAAGAGAATCCATGTAGCTGATTGAGTTAATTTCAGTTCACAACGTAATTGTTCAGATTTTGTCACATTTTTAGGTTTTGGTCACCAAAATGTTCCTTTATATTATTTAACTAAGCATGTGAACTTTTTCAGGGTTCTTTGAGTGAAATACAAGAGAACATGGTGTTTCACAGTTCTTGGATGCTCACAAGCCTGATTGGTTTCAGTCAGCATTCTCAGTGCTCAGCATGTCCTAAAGTTGGTGAGAGAGCTAAAATTTTAGTTTTAGATATCCACTGTGAATTATTAACACAAACAGAATTTGAGTTTTCAGTGTAGAAGTGAAAGTGTGAAGCAGTTTAGAGCCTAGTAAGTTAAAGTGCTGAGCTGGGGTTAACCCAGAGCTAAAATAACTCTTTTTTTCTGTTTTCCCCCAAGGACAGAACCATAGGAATGTGATCATGTGGATGGACCATCGTGCAGCGAGCCAAGTCGAGCGCATCAATGCAACCCAGCACAGGGTTCTGAACTACGTAGGGGGAGCCATGTCTGTGGAAATGCAGCCACCCAAATTGCTCTGGATAAAGGAAGTGAGTACATTTAAAACTGGTGCATTTTTACTAGTGATTAGTGCCCTTTTTAATTCCTGAGAATGAGATTTCTAAAGCAAAAGTCTTCAGTCTTAGTGTTGAATGCCAAGGTGTGCAGAGTAAGGTCAGGCTAAAGTTGTGATTCACACCTTTTGAGGTTCTTTCTTCCGCTCAATTTTGTAGAAATATGTTTGATTTTATTGAAATAGAGTGTTCCTTGAGAGGAACATTCCATATGCCTTCCTTATCTAAGATTAGACATACATACAAATAGAGGTAGAGATAATAAATGAAGTATCCTACGATTTAGTTATGGAAGTGTATTTCCTACTCCACCTGGAGCCTGGAGTGCCAGAGGAGTGCCTTTGAGGCATCCAGCAGTGCAGAGTGTGATGCCTTGGCTGCTGGTAGAGGAACTCTCCACTTCCAGCTTCATTTTAGTTCTGTCCCATCAGCAGGAATAAACCATGTATAGAGGGAAGGTGCCCTGTGTGTAATGTGGAGCTTTACCTCTGTCTGCTGTGTTTAAATTTGATGTGTTACAATGAAGTATGGCCTCTTAATAACAGCTGTCAGATAAAAGGAGAGACACTTGCCACTTCAAATTTTTATAACCTCCTCCAGCCTAGTTTTTTACATTTGGCCTCGATGATGCTCACTGTCATTTTAACGAAGCCCAAATATAAATTACTTGCTGTCAGTTTCAAACAGCCAAATTCTCCTGTTCTTAAAGACATGAGACATTATATTGTAACAAGGTGCAGATTGGGGAAAGTCAAAGGAATTATCTGGTAGAAGCAGGTACTGATAGATTAATGATAATAGAGGGTAATGAATGTTGATAGTGAAATATGAATATCCATCTACTACTTTTTCCCTTCTCAAGCTATGAGTATCATACATCAGTCATTTTATAAAGAATAAAATGTAGACTGTAAAAACATTAAATGAATCCTTTGCATTTAAAGCATTTTTATATTGCAGGGTCTGGGATATCAGTGCCTAGCTGCTCAGGAAATCCAGGTTATGGGGTGTCCAGATGTGCTCATGTGGAGGTGTGAGTCTGCTGTGACCTCAAGGCCCCGGACATGATTGCTGTGGTGTAAAGGGGAGAGCACTGCAGGGCTTGTTCCCTCCACGAGCCAGTGGATGGGACACAGGACTCTCCTGACCCCAGGTGCCAGCCAGCAGCAGGGATTTCCTGGCAGAAGAGTGGCACAGAACAAGGCTTGTTCACATGTCCCTTTTCAGCTCCTGACATACCAGATAAGGAGATTATTGTCCTTAAGAGAGGATTTTTTACCTCAGTGTCTGCCTGCTGAGCTGCCCACTCGACAATTCCTGTGTCCTGACTGATCTGGGCATGACTCACCATTAAACTGCTTAAGCTTGCCCTGCTTAACTCAGGCACCTCAACACCCACAGCAGCACCTCAGCTGCTCAGGAGCAGTAATATTATCCTGGAGTGGGCTGTAATCTGCTGAGATTTGGTTAAACCTTTCAGCTCTGGAGAGGTGTGGGATTGAGTGGTTTTACTGCTTCTGTACTCCTTACAAAGTAGGAGGGGGAAAGGAATTAAATGAAGAGGGAGGGTTTATTTTGTATCCGTGGCTTACCTGACATCAGGGCTGTCAGCAAAGGGTCACGTTGGCCTCTGACAGCTCAAACTCAGCCTCATGTAATGTAAGTGTCCTCACTTTTTGCCAAGAGAGGCAAATTTTACAATGACTTTGAGTGTCAAGTTGTTCGGATGAAACCGACAACAGCAATTTGCACATCTGTGGTTTCTCAGTGGACTGTCTTGAACTGGGCTGTAAATATAAGTTATTTAAGTCTCTTCAGATCTTTTGTTATCACTATTTTACATATCAATAAACTGTGATACAGATATTAAAAGTATGGCCAGCAAAAGGACTTACAGAATGGTATTTAATGTATTCTTCCTGTTTTTTGAGTTGTATCATCTTTATTTTCTATGTTTACTATATTTCCCAATGGCAGAGTGAGATTTTGATCTAGCTCACACACCACAGAGAAAATATACTTTATATTCTGACTACAGGATTATTTCTTAAGCTAGTGATAATGCAGAAACTGGCAAAAAGGAATTTTAGTTTTCAAATTCCATGGGAGAATTGCAAGATTAGCAGGTAGAAAGACACATTTTAGTTTTATTGTATCCTTTTCAACTATCTGAGGGGTTTGCAAAGTTGAAACTGAAATTTTCATTGTGCTTCTACTTAATTGTGATGACTGGTGTTCAGAAAATGAGTGCACTGTACCTGGTTTGACCTGGTTACTGCCTGGGAAAGTTTTACACAGTGCTCCCCACACTGTGCCTGGCTGTGATTGTGGCTTTGGCCTCTCCAGCTTTCCTGACTGTTGGGTGTAGTGTAGATGTTTTTTTTTTCCTTTCCGTCCTTATTCCTTTCTGAGTATACCTCCCTAATGCTGAAATATCTGACAGCATCCTAGGAAGTTAAGACAAAACCAGTGGATTGGGCACATTCTCCTATGTCTGACCCTAATCAAACTGACTAAAGCAAGGTGTATCCAGAAGCTACTTTGAACCTTTGTTCCTTTGGATGGCATTCTGTTTCTTGAATGTTTTTGGTCAGAAGGCTTGACATGGCTGCAGCACATTCAACACAGGGATGTTTGTAAAGAAAGCAAAGCAGAACAAAACCACAGCCAGACACTTTGCACAGTCATGCTCCAGGTCAGCATGTACACCCTAATATATGAAGAATCACTGTTGACTTTTGCTTTGAGTTCTCTGGACCTCATTTTGAACTCCCCAGGAATTTAATGTTTCTGCTATTAAATGTTTTTGCTGTTTTCCCTCTGTACATCTGCCTGGGATTGGTGCTGTGCACATTCCACAGCTGCTTGCATTCATAAGAGTTTTGCAGAGAGAATGCAGTGGGGAAAAGTACTGCTTTATGTCTGAAGTGAAATAATAAAATAGTAGTTAAATAATAAAGATAAAATAAATAAAAGATAAATTCAGGAGATTACTAGATGTACTTTTGGAAGGAAGTTATTTGAAGTACTGATACTAAATGATGGTTGGTCTGTTGTTACACTGTTACACTGTTATTTGTATGTACATTGTTACCAAAGCCTCCCTCTTCCTTTCCCTGGTGCCAGCCTGGGTCTGGAAGGCCACATTTGGAGATTCTCGTCTCATGTTTTGCCCTGGGTTCTCCTAACTTTAGTATTTGCAGACCTGATCCTGTGAGGAAGGGTCTGACATGGGTCTAATCAGCAATGCTGGTAAGTTGTGAGTGATTGATTAGGGTGTCTCTCGAAGAAAGAAGTGGAATTTCTGTGACTTGAAGAATTTTCATCTAAGCAATTAAAAATATTTCTAAAGAATATGACTTTGCAAGTTTACTTTGAATTGGTTGGAAGAGGAAGGAGAAGGAGCAAAGGATGAAGGTGGCTTACAAGACAGTTGGAGAGGGACTTTGGACAAGGGCTTGGGGTGACAGGACAAGGGGGAATGGTTTCACACTGACAGAGGGCAGGGTTAGATGGGAAGAAATTCTTCCCTGTGAGGGTGCTGAGGCTGTGGCACAGGTTGCCCGTAGAAGCTGTGGCTGCCCCATCCCTGGCAATGTCCAAGGCCAGGAGGGGCTTGGAGCAGCCTGGGACAGTGGAAAGTGTCCCTGCCCATGGCAGGGGCTGGAACTGGGTGAGCTTTAATATCCCTTCCAACCCAACCAGTCTGGGATTCAATTATGACCTAACTGTGCTTTTCCATTTCCATCACGTTGTTCCTGGAATTGAAGCTGCAGGTGACCTCACTCAGTGAGAGGAATGAGCTGACACCACTGTACAAGAAGTAGATACTGGTCCTTATCTCTTGTGGCTTTCTTCTTCCTTTCCCCTTTTGACTTTCTCCTTTTGACTTTCTTTTCCATATAATGTTTTCCCCTTAACATTTCATCTCCCTACACAGCATAGAGATGCTGGAGGCTTCAGTGTGTATTCTCTTCTTCTAGCTCATCATCTCTATTCCATTTTGAGCTTGAATTAAAAATCTAAATTTTTAAGGCCATAATAGGCTTTTTGAGGTCTTCTATTTGATTTGTATTTGCTTACATTCAGTTCAGTTAGATTGAGGCTGAATCATTTTACCCTCTGGCATCTCTTAGCATCCATGAAATTAATTGATTGGTCTTGATGCTTGTGATTGCACATAGGTGTTCCTATGGCAAAGCCATCCCTGCAAGTTTATGTGTTGGGTTAAAGTGTGCACATCTGTGGCTCACTTAGGAGCAGCATTGTATTTTTCTGCCTGTGTGGATCATGTGTGGTGATAGAGTCCAGTGTTAGATGCAAAACCAAACAAATATATGATTTTTTAATAAAGCTTGCTTCTATGCATGCTGCCACATTTGACTTTTGAATGTGGTCACATGAATCAAGAATATCAACTATAAATGAAGTTGAAACAGAGAATCCTTTGACACGTATTTAGAAACTACCTGAAGGATGATTCTGACAAAGTCTTTCTGAAGCCAGTAAGGTAAATTTGAATATAACCTTCACTAAAAAGGAAAGTAATTCCTGGTTACTGGTTCTTTTAAAATAGCCAATTAAGTTTAATCCTTTTGCTGTTATTTCCTTATATTTTATTATTTACAATTTTTCCTACAAAACGTTATTGCAACAGTTTTTTACTTCTATAGTTTCAGGTACATTTTTGTGCAGTTTACTGAGCGGGTTCTGTAATTTTGGTGACTTTGGCTAAAAAAGTTGGATGTTCACTGCCTGACTGAGTGTGTAGGTATTTCTGGGGGATAGATGCCTGCATGTGAGCTGAAAATGTGAGTACATAACTCCTTGGGAATTTTGCTGCAGGAATTTGTCAGTACAACCCAAATGTACAGATATTAATGCTGTGGCAAACCAGTGTTAGAGCAATGAGAAGACAGCTCAAACACAGCAATGCAAGAACTGCAGGGAAGAATTGTCCAGTTCCAGAATTAGCCTGTTAGTATTTTTTTTTCCTAGAGATAGCAGAAGAAAAAAATGTTTACTAATTTCGGCTGAAAATGTTATTGTAGTTTGTGCCAAAACGAAAGGATGCATGTTATGTTTTCCTCATACTAATGACGTTGTAAACCAACTATTTCTAAAATATAGTCCCATTAAATCAGAGATGCTGAACTTTACTGTTTATTTTAAGTGGGTGGGGGATGTTGGACTAGGGGTAGGTATTTGCTTGGTAACTGCCTCCAAATGAAGTGCAGTGTTCTGTATTCTGTTTTCACAACTCCGCTCTTAATTTCATGTTGAAGAGTGAAAAAGAGCCTCCCTTTAGGAAAAAAAAAAAAACCAAACCATGGAGTGACTGTTTAGCATCTCATTCTTCTGCCATTAATAACTAAAATCAATAGTCAATGAGTAGATTTTTTTTTCTGGCAGTCAGTGATCTTCCTATATGTTACAGTTCCCATCCTCAGAGCTGCTGTTTGATCCATCATCCTTCTTCCTTCTCTACACCCCTGACTTGCAGCTACCAGGGGGATCATTTGCAGGAACAATTGAAACCTCTCATTCCCTGGCAGTGGGGGGAAGGATAGTGGATGCAGTGGCATTAGCTTGGCAGCAGCTCCTTTGCTGGTGCTTGTCTTCTTCACTGCTTGCTGCCCTTGCAGCTGGCTTTTTGTCTTGTTGAATGTGACTGAATATTTTTCCATTAAAATGAATAATAAATTCTGTGTTAAATGAGAATGACTCCAGGCTGTTGAGTTTGGAACTGAACTCTTGTTTAGAATTGTTTATAAATGTTTCAACACTCTCTGTTATCACAGTCCATACACAGTGCAGACACACATGCATAAGCTGTACTTCACACTGAGTCTGGTTTTTAGCTGCAGTTGCTGCTCAGGCAGAGGTGCCATTTAGGAACAGCACTCACAGCTGGGAGATTTGAAACACCTGCACCTCTGAGCATGTCCTGCTTGGGCTGTCCCCTCTGTGTCTCCTCTCCTCTGCAGTGGGACAAGGCTCCCAGCAGGCACACACTGTCCTCCCAGCCTTGCTCCAGCTTCTCCAGCTCTGATTCCATGGGCCTGCTCTGTCCCTCTGCGGCCCTTTCTGGCCTGGGCTCTGGTGCTTGCCTGCCTGTGGTGCCATGCCTGGAATGCCTCAGGGATTTAAGGATGCCTGCACCAGTGTCTGGGTGGTGCAGGCAGTTTTCTCCCCCTTCAGCAGCAGCCTTACTCCAAGAGTTTACTTTCCAAGCCCCTCCTCTCCCCCTGCCCTAGTTCCTGTCTCTGATAATTCAGTCAGTTAGTCTTTTACCAGTTAGAGTGCAAGTTGTGTCAAAATTGATCAGTTTGCAGCCATGGCTCTGGCAAGGATGGAATTTCTGCTCGTGGCCTATCCTGGGTGTCTGAGAATATCTCTATCACATGGCTTGGCATCCAGTGTGAAGTGTGGGAGATCCAAGTTGTAAATCCTTGCTTTGACTTGGAGCAGGGCATGGGACATGAGTTTTTAGATCCCTGTGAGTGTGTGCATTAAGTATTCCATTGTTCCCTTTCTTTCTTTCACACAATGTGCATTTGTTTTCTGTAACTTAGAAAAAGACACCCTATGTGTTTATTTTCAGTCCAGTGAAGAAATCCCTCATTTTCCCTTCTTGCCTAGGAAGATTAAAATACATTGCACTAGATAATTCTTAAACTCTTCAGCCCCAAGTATTTGGGATTACCTGTAACAATCTCAAAACATTATTCTGTGCAGGTGTAGCTGTTAAAGCAATCCAAAGCAATCAGAGAGAGAGATGAAGAAAGGGCACCCCATGAGTACCTCTGGAAGGCAGAAAGATTGTGAGTTGCTTTGCAAGTGAGTGTGGAGGGTGAGTCGCAGGATGTGAACACAGCATTGGGAACGTTCCTGGCTCTTTTCCACAATCCTTTTAATGTGGTCACAGACTCCTGACTGGGTGAAAATAAATTTGAATTAACTTCAGTGAGTGTCGAAAACATGGAGACTTTAAATTTGTTTGGAAAAAGCATAAAGGCATGCTATGATTTTTTTTTGTCTGTACTAATTAGTGATGACACAGCATCAAGATGGCAAAAAATGAATCATTTGGATGTTCATGAAACAAAGTATTTTGAGTGTCACTAACTTGTGGCTTTTGGGAATTCTTGAAGTAATAGAATAAGGATCCAAGGAGTATACTTGATGAAACAGATTTATTTGAAGAAGACGGTTACTCTTAATCCAGTTTCTTTTCGGATTAAAGTAACAGTCAGACTACTCCTGTTGTTTCTTGAAGGCTCTCAGGTATGTTAACAACATGTAATGACTTTTATTATCAAAATAATCAGGCTGAATGATCTTTGGGCTAAACTGTGGAGCACCTTGGCATTCATATAGGAAGCTAAATTTGATGTGAGTAGCAACCACATCAGTCACAGAGGTGAGCTAAACCTGAGAGGTCAGGAAAGACATCCAAAGGTTGTGTGTTTCATGTTGAAAGGTTGTAATCAGAGCATTCCTTTTTTGAATTCAATAGAAACCCAGTAAGTTCTAGAACCTTTTCAAAGTCTAAACTCAAAAAGTTTTAAGACAGATTATTGGCATGACTCAAAACGAAGCAAAATTTTGCTTTTTGGTACTTACCCAGTTGCACTTTAGTTTTTCAAATTTATAGATGCCATTTCAGCAACTTCCTGGACTTGCAAGATTTTGGTTTGATATCACAGAGTATGTAAATTACAGAATTGTAGAATCACAGAATGATTTGGGTTGGAAGAGACCTTAAAGACCATCTCATTCCAACTCCTTGCCACAGGCAGGGACACCTTCCACTGTCCCAGGCTGCTCCAATCCCTGTCCAGCCTGGCCTTGGACACTTCCAGGCATCCAGGGGCAGCCACAGCTTCTCTGGGCAACCCGTGCCAGGGCCTCCCCACCCTCACAGGGAAGAATTTAAAGAGCCAAATATTATTTCTCTAAAATGGAATCATATTCTCTTTTAGTTCAGCCTGTGCATTGTTGACACTGCAGGGAATTAATTTCTGTTCCAGAAAGACCCCAGAAAGGATTTGTGTTTCTAGTGCAGGAGCTGATCTCAAGTGAGAAAACTTAGCATTTTTCAGTTATTTAAGAAGCTGGTGGAGGCTTTTTAAGCAATCTTATCTTCCCGTGGAAGTTTGATTTGTGACCCTTGTGAGCTTTTGTTTAGTTTTGATATTCTCTACTTATTTTAAGTACTAAGGTCAGAGGTGACCATTGGGATTGCTTTGCAGGACAGCAATGCTCACTGTCTGTCACACTGGAATTAAACATTACTCCTGGGAAAACTTTCTTCCCATTCATCCTGGTCTGATACCTGTGGGTGGTGTGGAGATTGTACTTGTGGAAAAGTAGTTTTGAGAATATGCAGTGTTAACATAATCTGAAATCAGACTGAGCTCTGGAGATGGAAACAAAGACGTGGCCAGCCTTTTCTGAGAGTCTTCTTGCTTTCTAAATCATCATCTCTCTGCAGGTGGAAACTCCTTGTAAATGATCTGTCTTGGTAGAAGAGTTTTTTAAGCGTTTGGGAATGTTATATGGCTTTTCAGAAAGCCACATGATCTGCAAGCTTTGTTTGTGCACTCACAGAGCTCTTTGTGTTCTTCCTATACTTATAATTAACAAATATTAAATTTTAAATATTAAATTTTTAACATTTTAAAATCTTAAGTGGCTTATTTTAGAAAATGGAACGTTTTTCTAGCAAATGTTTTTTTGATAAAGTTGTTGACTTTGAAACTGTTCTGCCAACGAGCAGCTGATGGGGAACAGAGACACCCCAGGTTATTGATCTGAAACTTGTGCCTTTATGAACTCTTCGTGGGGAAATTTGCTTATGATCAAATAAGGACATTTGATTTATTTTGTCTGCTGTGCTGGGGGAAAGGCTCAGCTCTCCAAGCAGTAAATCAGATACAAGAGCTGACTGGAAGATCAGAACAATGAAAATGCCATTTTTACCTAAATATCAGGATTTTAATTGCATTAAAATAAGGACATGACCATGCCTGACCTCTAATATCTGGCTTTCTAAACATATCTTTTTAGAACTTGCCAGAATCGTGGGAGAAGGTCGGCTACTTCTTTGATCTTCCAGATTTCTTATCTTGGAAAGCCACAGGTGTCACTGCAAGGTATGTTAATTATAACAGTATGATTTTGTCTATTTTCTTATGTACATTTCTGCTTTAATTCGTTCTGACTGGACCTGCTGTTATGTACATCTGTCTGTAATTCAGCTAGCCCCAAAACATCTTGAACCTATCTCCTGCCTCCATTGTGCATTCCTGAGCACAGAAGTTCCTGGGAGCAGTGGAATTCACAGATACAGTGCAAAATGTCATTTTGGAGCATAAATACGATTTCTGGAGTTTGAAGTTCCCGTGAAATACACTTCCAATAATTCTTTGAAATCTATTTTTGTTGACAAATTGATTGACTTTTTTGAGAATTGGAAATATGCACTTCTTTACCATGTGGGAAGGGTCTGGTAAAATCTAACTTAAAATGGTCACTTCACTGTAGCACAGGGCAGCTGTGCTGCTCCCCAGAAGCACCCTGGAATCCTTGCTGAGTAGTTGAACAAAACCCTCTGGAAGAACCCCTTAAAAATCTGGGTTAAAGTGACCAACACAGGTGAAGGGCGTTTGCAGATCCTTTTGAGAAGTGGGGGTCAGTATTATTTATTTAAAATCATGCCCAGTTCAGTGCAGCTCACAGTTCTTTCCATTGCAGTTTGTGGAGTGGAATCTGTGCAAAATGTAGTCTCAGATGAAAACTGGCCACAGGAGAATTTTAGTCTCTCTGGAAATGAAGATATGATACCTTCCCATCAAATACAGTTCTTTTTATTTGAGTGCCCTATTTCTCCCTAGTTAGTTTTTCTGATTGACAGCTATTGTTAGAGCATTATATATTATATATTCCTTGCATTATGCAGCAGGGAAGTGCTATGATTGACTTAAAAAAGGCAAAAAGAGGAGTTGTGCAAGGACTTGCCAGATGATAATTGATAAATGGTGTCTTAAACCTTCCTTTGGATTTTCAGTCAGATTTTGCTGTCTAACTCTGTATTATATAACAGAAGAACAACTCCCACCCCACAGATCTTGCAATCTAAACAGTCCTGTCACCTGTCCCAACCCTACCTTCAAGAAGATAAATCCCAGGCTCTCAGATGATATTCCAGGGTCTGCATCTTGTGAAAGTACTTGAGACTTTGATTTAGCATTAGCACCCTTTGGTCAGGGCATGAGGTGGGGGAGGCTCTGAAAAGGGAGGGCACAGTGATCCTGACAGCTCCATGGTCCTGGCTGGCTTGGGCTTTGTGTCCTTGGCTGCAATTTCCTGGAGGTGAAGCACAGAATCTCTCTGAAAAAAAAAAAAAGAAGAAGAGTGCGGAGGATTATACTCAAAAGTTGAGATGCCTGAATTTAGACTGGCAAGTTCATTTCCTTAGCAAGGATAATGCCATTACTCAAAATCTTTTAGTTGTATTGATGAATGTTCTAAGGGAGAAAGGAGTGTTGGGAAAAGACTCTCTGGATAAAGTCTTCTATTTTAAATAAAATAGCTCCTTGTACATCCTTCATTGTTGTCTTTAATGTGCTCCCCAAAATCAAGCCCATTGTTTTGGCTCCAGTGGATTGTCTTGTAGGGTAACAAAGAAGGAAGAAAAAGACAGAAAATAAGGACAAGAAACATTTTGCTGGAATCCAACTTTATATTTTTTTTCTTTCTTTGCTTTACCTCATGTACACCTGTTTGCTGAGAATTTTCTTGTACGTGGTGAAGTCAAGTAATTTGTCTTGCATATGCTCATAATACAGGAGAAGTGTGAATTTATCAACTATGGAATTACTACCTCTCACCACCCTTTCTGCCTTTGAGCACAAAGGAGTCTATTCACAGGGCAAGACATGGTGTTAGTCACTGTGAATCATACAGAACTTGGCCCTGATAAAAGAAGGATTTATTTTTTTTAAATTTGTTTTGGTGATGGGGATTTTACCAAAATAAATGCTATTCTGAAGGCACTTTTATAGCAAAGACCTTGCTTCTTTAAATTTTTAAGGAGCTCTCTAAAACATTTTGTATGTTTTTGACATTTAGAAATTCTGTGAAGTCGTTTTGCCTTCAATGAGGTCACTGTGCACAAAGTTAAGTAGTGTGTGACATCAGAGTTTGATGTATTTGCAAAGCAACTCTTAATGTGTATTTCTAAATATGTAATGCTTTGTCTTTCACCTTTCATTCTGCTGGATTGAACTGCCTTGTTGCCAGGTTTTTTTTTCCAGTGGACCTACAATAAACAATAAGTGTTTTTTACCTCTGAGATGGAGGCTCAGACATCTTCTAGGTTTTACCTCCTGACTTTGAAATTGCTCTGTATCTCACTGAACAACATCTACTCAACATCTACGGTTGCAAAGGATGAGTTCCAAATTTTTGGTTCCCATTGTTCTTGGAAAGCTGTTGCCTGTAATGCTCCATATTTAATATAGTTATGTTTTATTATTTCTGCTTTGAGCTGATGAATGACCATTGACTTGTCCTGAACAATCCAGGCAGCTGACTCTTCTGCAATAAAAAAAAAAATTACTGACAGCTCTTTAGTTAAAAAATTTAAACTTAGAACTTCTCAGCTTTGCCCCCCAAAGTTGCAACAACGAGTTTCAGTTTTGCCACTTGAACACTCAGTTGTCTTCTCTCAGAAATGCTGTGGTGGAGAGAAGGAGCTGTGACAGACACTTAGCTGTGCTTTCCAGAGGCTCAGCACTTCTGCTCGTGCTGAGTGTGACTCACTGCTCTCCCTCCCCCATCCAGAACCTCTGGTAACCTTTCCTTTATATGGTACTTTGGGTACAGCTGTCTTCATAAAATCTAAACTCCTCTCTGCTTTAGGTACAGGCTACTGTGTTATGGATGGGGAATTATTAGCAGAGATGCACATCTGCAATCTCAGTGTGTTTCTGGAGCCTTGTGAGGGATTACATTGCAGATAAGAATAGGGCTGAGCTGTTAAACTGAGTGGAATCCACACACCAATTTCTCAAAGGTCATGTGTGTTTAGACCCAGAATTCTGCTTCGGGGCCATTTCCAATCATAGGCAACTCACTCACTACAAAATGAGCTAGTGTGTACTGGAATTTAAGATGAATTCTAAAAAAGAGAGATTAGACCTGTGAAGGAGGATTTGGAAATGTAGGGAATAATGTCAGGCTGACATTATTGAGATAGAGGGTGTCCAGCATTGTGCTACAAGCCACCTCCCAAAATGGCCAAAAAAAGTTGGAACAAATTGAATATTTATGCAGATTATGTTTTTTCATATTATTATACTCTAGATATATTAATATCTGAAGTAATGTGCTATCTAGCAGAGACTTTGTCTCCTCTATGAATTTGACCCAAATAATTTTCTTATGAAAATACTTGTCCAGTCAGTCTTCAGCTGCTTGCCATCATGACATGGGAAAGGGTGGAACAGATGTTTCATATACTTCACTTTTCTAAATGATCTCCTTCCAACAGATCTCAAGATCATGAGTTTTTCAGTTTTATAAGAAAGAAATTCATACTGTTTATGGTAGTGATGGACTGCAAAGGGAAAAGCAAATGCTTGTAGTTGATAAAAAGCATTTCTGGGAAGCACATGACTAATATTTGTCTGTATCTCTGTGAGAGAGGGGGATCTCTCTTTAGTGCAGTCTATTTTCAACAGGAAGATACTTGACAAATTGTTTTCTTTCATTTATGAGTTTCTTGGCTTGTGCACGTTTAAGTAGCTGGCTCTTTATGTTAAGCAGTCATTGAGTCCTTAAAGTTTATTTGTAACCTGTTTTGAGTAGCTGATGATTGGGGCTCGAGATGGCTCCGTGTCACTGACTGACTTCCAGAGAACTCCCTGGACACTGTCAGAGATGAGCAGGAGTAGAATCTGGTCCCTTGTTGAATTGTAATGAGGGAAACTTGTAATGAAGTTACATTAAATAATAAATAAATAAAGCCAGGGAGGTGCTTTAGAATCCAGGAATCTGGATTCTGGTCTCTGCTCTGTGATGTAGAGAAGTGAATTAAATCTGTGTCTTTGGAGGTATTCAGGCAGCTGAATACATGTGAGGATTTGATGTTTGTTCATCCCTGTGTTTGTTCTTCGTCTGTTAAACTGATGTATCCACACACTCTTGGAAGGTTGCTCACTTTTACTGCTGTGAGGTCTCTCGTGGCTGTGTCAGTGGAGCCCTCACCAAATATTTTATCCAGAATAGGCTGGAAACTTTGAGGAGGGAGAGCACTTTTGGAAGAGGAGCTTATGTTTAGAGGCACTGTTGAAAAAACAAACCAGTGTGAGTTAAACGATTATCTGAAGGATGTCTGTGTCCTTTTCAAGGATTGGGCAATCCTTTCAGAGAGATGTGGTAACTGCAGCAGCACAGACACCACTTTTTGGGGCCAGCTGCCCTTCCCTTCCTTCCTAGCCCTGCCATGACTAATGGATACCCTTTGGCTGGGATCTGGCACTTGGATTCTTGTTGATATTTTGTGCCTACTTCAAAAGATGCCTAGTCTAAAAATCAGGCCTTGTTTCTGGAAAGAAGGGGCCTAGGGAATATTGCAGAAAGCTGTTGTGATTAGTGCTGAGCCCATGGGGCAGTGACAGTATCCTGAATTGCACTCGGGTGTTGTGTCCTGTTTATGAAATGAAACCCAAGAGTTCAGACATGCAGACTTGTTTAGAGAAGTCTCTGGAGGAGAGAGAATTATCTTGAAAGGCTGGTTGGGAGGGGAGGGATGGTGTTTTTGTGGATTGGACAAAGTACCACGAATTTCTTGTCGTGAAGCCAAAAGCAAGTGTCCCTGTGATGGTATGTTTGCCAAATGAGAGAATTCTACTGCTATCAGGCTTTTAATAAATTCAAAACATGTTCTTTGGAGACTGGTGACACACAGACTGATCCAGAAAATAGGAAATATGTAGCTGGAAAAGATATCAGGACTGTGAAGGGCAGGTGCAATATGGGCCATTACTGTTAGATATTTTTTTTTAAATTTAAAGCCGGTATGTCCTTGAATCTACCGAGTAATCTGAAAGAGTTCTGTGTGCTGAAGAAGAAAATTGTCAGCAGGTCT